AAGATGTACATCATAATGAAGAAAAAAAAACAAAATGAGTATAACACATGTCGTACTACGACCTAAGACGTTGTCTAGGCGATATCGCTCACTGCTAGGTGTGTAGTGATCCAACAGTCGTCGCGGTCGTTATCGCAAGTGATGTTGTTGTTGTTGGTCATCTAAATGCCCAGGTTGGGTGTATGTTAGTTTTTGGCTTAAGGAAGAAAGAGGGAGAGAGGGTGTGTGTGAGTGTGTGGTTCGATCATTGGAGAAAGTGGGAGTAGGAGTGTGTGGTTTGGCCATCGGAGAAAGAGAAAGGTTGTGTGTGAGTGTCTGGTTTGGCAAATAGGAGAAAGAGAGGGAAACGGTGGGTGTTTGGTGTGGTTTGGCTATGGGAGAAAGAGGTAGAAAAGTATAGTTGTATGTGTTGGCCATGGAAGAAAGAGAGAAAGGGATAGTGAGTTTTGGCCATGAGAGAAAGAGGAAGAAAGAGTGTGTATGGGTGTATGATATGGGAGAAAGAGAGAAAGAGAGGGAGAAAGATAATAACTTTTGGCCATGGGAGAAATGGAGAAAGAGGGGGAGATTCACATTACACTCTTCATAATAAGGAAATTCAAACATGTGCTTGCAAACTAAATTAGATGTGAATGACGACATAAAATTATACCTTACTTTGCTTTAATGGAACAATGAAGTGATGTCCTTCGCCCTTGCTTGCTTGGATGAAGAGATGAAAGGAGAGATGAAAGGAGGTCCTTAGGGTTTCGGCCAAGAGGTGGAAGAAGGAGAGAGAAGGGAGTGATTTCAGCTAAGGGAAAAAGATGAAAAGAGAGGAGAATTTCAACTAAGGGGAAGAGAGGAGAGGGAGACAAATTTTTTTGACAAAAGAAAAGAATGAGAGAAAGGGAGAAGTTTTCAAAATTTTTAAAGTGGGGGAGGATTTTTAATTTTTGGCTAAAAAATGGGGGAAGAAAGAAATGAAAGGAAATTTCAAAAATGAGTGGTTAAACTGGTTGTTGGCCCAAAACAACAGTCGTGACTCATTTGGATGATAAAAATTTGGGGAATACAATTGGGAAGTCAATTTTGGCTAAAATGACCCCTATCTTAAGATTTTTAATTCAAAGTTCTATTGGGAAAGTTATGGTAGTATTGAGTGATTATGGGAAAAAAATATAACCTTACCTCTTTTGGCAAAGAAAAAGGAGGAGTACACGCTTGGGAAGTTAATTTTAGGTTAAGAAATTTAAGGTCAAAGTTTGGGTCTCACCCTAAGAGAGAGAAATTTTTTAAAGATTTTAGATTAAAGTGTTTAATGAGTTTGATTAAATTAAGGATAATTACATACAGACCACTTAAAACATTGGTATTCACAAATTAACCACACATGTGATATTTTGAACTATCAAATTGATGTATTTATGCATGTCACGATCAAATTATTCAGAATTTTATAAAAATAAAAGATAAGGGTTACCATGAAATTTGATATTTGAGCATGAATTTGAAAAATGGATGAAAGAGAGTAATTGATTTGTAAATAGGAAGTTTTGTATGTAATTACACCTTACATTTGTTATTTTTAACTCAATTTTACTTTAATTTGAGTTTGATGTTGATTTAGGTTGAATTGGAGGTGTTTTCATGATTATTATTATCATTATGATAATTATCATTTAAATTATTGTAGTCTTGATAGACCCCCAAAGAAAGTCTGATTAAGCATGGAGGGGCTCATTTCAAAGGTTTCATGATCTGAATGCACTCACGCGGTCTTTGAAAAAAATGCTTTGATAAAAAAAATTATGTAGGTGTAATTTTCATGCATGAAAACTGGAATAAAAATAATAATTTCGGGGTGTATTTAGGTTAAGCCAATTTTTAATTCAAGTTTAGGGCTTGATTGAAATTGGTTACTTTCGATTCTATTTCAGTTTGGCTAATTTCATATTTTCTTTAATTAAATTCCAGTTTCAAAGTCAAATAAAGGTTGGCTCAAGTTTTAGTTTAAGTTGGGTTTAAGCTCTTGCTTATCCAAGCTCAGTTTAGCCATCTAGTGACACTAAGAAAGGGTTTTAGGTTCATATGGGATTTGATATAGCCTAGGGTGAATGGTTGACTAAAAAGTGAGATTAACAAATAGATCACAATATGTGTGACGTACAGTTCAAATTATAATGCATATACTAGTATTAACCGAAGCGACAAACCAAGTCTAAAAATAAGAATATCACTGCTCAAAGTTTGAATTTTGAATTTATGAATTAGAATTGAAACTTTAATTTGAAGTTCAAGATTTATGAACTTTAGTGTTTCTTATCGATATGATCCATTAAATGCTTACATTTGAGCATCTACGAAAATGTTTGCTAAGAAAATTAATTTAAGATTTTAGGAAAGGAAGTTGTTGGGGAACTTACACATGATTTAAAAAGGCAACTAGAGCAATCCAATAATGGTTTATTGAAGAAAAAAAATGCTAAAGACTAACACGATTTGTGAAAAAGGTCTAAAGATGATGTTGTTATGTTTCATCTCTTTAAGGTAAAAAGTACAAGAATGATGTAGTTAAGCTTCGTGTCTTATAGACCTAATTTTTTTTCAATTTGAGTTTAAGAATTGAGCGTTCAATGACTAAACTAAGATATGAAGCATAGGGACTCACACCCATATTAGATTTACTATGTAAGAAATTGGCCTTCTGGTGTTTTGGGGTATAGTACGACTATGAACCCTAAACATTTTCTATTTTCTATGATTTTCAATAACTACATTAAGATAGAAAACATGGGGACTCACACCCATCTTAGATTTACTAAACAAGACACTGACCTACTGAGTATTCCAGGGAATAATATAATCAATGAATCAGAATAAGAAAATGTTAAGATCTGATTTTAGTTTTTCAATGACTACACTAAAACAAGAAGCACAAGGACTCACACTCATCTTTGATTTACTACGCAAGCCATTAGCCTACTGAGCATTTTGGGCATAGTATGACCAATGTGCCCAAAACATTTCTTATTCTCTATATTTTCAATGACTACATTCAACAAAAGCATGAGGACTTACACCCATTTTAGGTTTACTAGGCAAGACATTGACCAATTAAGCAATTCATAGCATAATACAATCATGAACAAAAATAGAAAAATATTAAGATTTGATTTCAGGTTTTCAATGACTGCATTTGCTGCACTTGCTAAGACAGGGAGCACAGAAACCCACAAACATCATAGATTTACTAGGAAAGGCATTAGTATACTAAACATTTTGAAGCATGGTATAACCAATGAACCCTAAATATTTCTTATTCTCTATGTTTTTTAATGACTACATTAAGACAAGAAGCATGAGAACTCATGCTCATCTTAGATTTAATAGTCAAGACATTGGCTTTCTGAGCACTTTGGGGCACAATACGGCCAATGACTAGAACACGAAGTGTTAAGACCAGATTTTTGGTTTTCAATGACTACATTAAAACAAGAAGCACGATAACTTATACCCATCTTAGACTTAATAGACAACACATTGGCCTACTTGAAGTTTCGGGGCTCATACACCAAAATAATGTGTTGTTTTAAGTATCAATTATGTTAAACTATCAATTCAAGCATCAATTCTGTTTATTATTGTGCATTGTTATATCACCCAAAGGAGATTTTCAATACACTACTAAATATTTCATTTAATCTAATTGGATATGAATATTTGTTTAAGTTTAATACTTGAAGCATTGATGTATGAGCATGTTCTATTTTTTTGCAGTATATATTCATATTTCTCTTCACTCGCAAGCTACATCTGTTTAGACATTCAATGAGCTTAATTTCTCTGAATGGCGCGAGTAAATCCATTTCACCTTAGTGTTCTGGATCTTGATTTGACACTAACAGCTGAGAAACCCCATGCTTCTACTGATTCTAACAGTGTTGAGTAGAAATCTTTTTATAAAACTTGAGCAAAATCAAACAGATTGAGCTTAACATTTGCGCAAATGACTGTAGCAAACAACATAAAATGTATATTTTCTAACATTAAAAGTGCTAAGGAATTCATTAAATTTGCTGAGGGAAGTTCTAAGTCTCACTCTGCTAATAAGTCTCTTGCTGGGGCACTATTAAGTACCTTAAACAACATGAAATTTGATGGTTCTCGTACTATGCAAGAGCATGTCGTTGAAATGACGAGCATAACAACAAGACTTACGACCCTAGTAATGGAAGTTAATGAAATTTTTTGTGCAGTTTACCATTAACCCCTTGTCTCCTGAATATGGTTCATTTTACATGAACTATAACACTATAAAAGATAAGTGAAATACGAATGAACTGCAATGTATGCTCATTCAAGAGGAAGTAAGACTCACGTCTAATATAAATATAAAACCGAGTTTTCAAAATGTCAGACGAATGCTCAAAACAAACAGTTTCACGGTGTTTTCAAAACACCTCCCGCACAAATAAGTGGCCCCAAACAGGCCCTGAGACTTAATTTCTAACTAAGAGCAAGAACTCCTATGACAGTAAGCATTGCAATCAAATGGGTTCCTTATTTTGAGAATAAAAAACTAGAATCAACATGTTAAGCGATTGAGCAAATGGAAAACATGAAAAAGTTCAATAAAACCATTTATAGGTATGAAGTTTCTCTTCAATTGAAGAACAAACAAAACTTTGACTTAGAAATAACAAAGAGACGATACCTAGAATGACAATTTCTCATAATTATTAATTAAAATCAAAAGGATATCTCATCCATAAGTTGGCAATCATAAGAGCAAATAAAACACATCCATTTTTTATCTCTTTTCAAGATTATAATACACATAATAAAGTAAGAAAATATCAAATAACAAAAGAAAAAATTCATACTTTAAATCATGATAATATGAATTGACAAATAGTTGCGAAGCTAAAAATGGTTACAACCATAACATGACGACAATTGAGAGATAAATATTTGCAGCATAGAAAATCCAACTCAATCTCCAATATCATCAATGAACACAATTACTATATATAAGTAAAAATATTATTTCTATCTAATTTAATGTGTCTCCCATTTAAATGATACATCCATATAATTATTGTACAACTCCATGGGGTACAGACCATGATAACTTGAAGCCAAATTCAACTAGACCATTATTGCAATGTAAAAATTCCAAAACATGCCATAGTTTTCTCTTCATACCTGAATGATCTTCTTTTATTCTATCTTTTTACTTCTTATATTTATTTCCTGTAAATAAGGGCACCCCCTCTGATACTGCAAAACAGCCCAAACTAAGTGGCTAAAATAAAAACCAGGCCAGAGAGGTGTTGGATTTTGCAAATGACTAAAACTAGATTGCAATAGAAGGAAGTTGCTGAGGCGAGTCTCGCCTGAAGTTCTGATGATCATATCTGGATCGGGACAGTCAAAACTGTATAAATGCCGCTTAAAATCAACTAATCAAATAATACTTTTCATATCAAATTCTTTGAAAAAATCATTTTTACGACCATAAACATGAGTTTGTGTCACCATATTTCTCTTTTCATAACAAGACTCTTGAATCGCATGAGCAATTTCATTTGTAGAGGTATAAGCCACACATACAGAGAGAACGGGTCCTGTATTATGAAATGTATTCTTCATTGCTTTTTCAGCTGAGAACCTCACTGAATCATTCAAAAGGTCAAGGTTTCCCCAAAAGTTCATCCTAACCTCATATTCATTCACAATGCTCTGTTCTTTTAGCAATTCATCAATCTTTTCATTCATCAGATCCATTGTTGATTGAACCTCTTCTGGTTTTCTTTTGAAATTGTCAATGCTGAAGGCATAAATGGTGACATACTTAACTCCCATTTCAAAGCAATATCTCAAAATAGATTTAAGGGTGGAAAATCCTGCTCCGTGGCCACTGCCTTGTTCCATGTTTCGATTTTTTGCATATCTACGATTTCCATCCATGATAAAAGCAATATGATTTGGCATCGGACCAAATGACAAAACAGAAAAGATACATTGACGAACCATGCAGAATAAATTTCCAAAGATAGTGGACATATTTGTGAAACAAACTTATGCACTTGAAGATCCTAACATCACATATAAGGTAAAGTTAGTAGCTACCAAATAGAAACAAAGAAGTAGCAAACTAGCCATAAAAGAGTTCATTCATGGATAGCTAAACAAGCAACACGGCACAAAAAAAGAGTAATTGGATTCGAAGTTCAGACACTGAGTGAAGATGACTATTTTGGGGCTGCTTGGTAGCTGGACTTGAGCGGTATTTAAAGTAAATTATGAAACTAAGAGGCAGTTTGCACGGGATTTTTGGATTTACGCGGGATTTAAATCCTACCAAATCAAACGGTAAAAAACTAACATAAATGCTTATATAAATCCAACGCATTTCTAAATCCCGTTGTACCTCCGTCTTGATCTAAGCTCTAAACCTTCAGAATTATATGGTTCAGTGGATTTAAAGGATTTACGCGTGCAGAAAGAACAAGATCCGGTCGCAACTTACTCTCTTCTTCTTTGTCGTGAGTCACGGGCAGGAGCGGGATGGAAAGAAAGATGAGGATTTTGGACACACCGCCGCAATCCCGTCGATTTCTTCGCCGGCGAGCTCCCGTCGCGACTTCCGGGGTTCTCTTCTGGTCGAGGATTTAGCGAGTAGAGGCACCGACGGGAAAAAATCGGATGGGATGTCTACATCAAATATAAACGATGAAAGCATCTTATTTTGTCCCTGCCCTGCCGGTGGACAAATTATTGCATACTTATTAGGGCTCTGTTTTGGACAGCTGTTGATTATTTATAATCTGTTGATAAGTAGATTATTATGATAATCTGATAATCTGCAGATTATCATAATAAGTTGGCTTGCTATTTGGGGTAACTTATCCAGAACAGTTTATTGGGAATTGTTATTGGATAAATGACGATTCTGCCCCTGTTTGGTTAAGCTGTTTCATAATACCCTGTTTAGGCGCGCATTTTGACTTGATTCATCAAATCAAAGCGAACTTATATGCAGATTACTATGGGCCCGTTTGGGGCAGCTTATAAGTGCGGGCGGCGGTTTGGAAAACACGCCCAACCCCTTATTCGCACTTTTTGGTAGATTGTATAAAACTGCGTTTTTCATACTGTGTTTTGCCCGCGGTCCGCGTTTCGCGATTTTTTTTACCTCATTAACCCCTGTTCGTTCGAAGCTGTATCTCCCCCACCCCCCCCCCGTTAGCGCGGGCAACGGGATTTCAATTCCGATGACCGACAGCTTCTTACGGGCAAACTCCACACAAAAAATAGTGCCGACAACAGTTTGAGGAGATTTGGAGCAATCTCGATTATGCTACCTCTTGGCAATCAAAAGCGTGGAGAAGGAGCTACTCGACTTGTAGAATCGAAAGGAGGGCGACCTCTAGACTAGTGAGACCACCTAAGAGATCCCAATCGTTGAAGATGAACCCAGTAAATCTTTCTAATAATTGACAATTTTGATGAAGCTCACTGTGAGATTCTAATTCAAACACTTTGGGACCACTATGACATCTTTGTGTGGTCTAACACAAAAATGTATGGGATACCGACTGATGTTTTCTATCATAGATTGAATGTGAGCCCCATAGTTTGACGCGATCAAGCAGAAGGCAAGGAACTCAATAAAAGCACTGGTTGGACTCATTAAGGAGGAGGTATTGAAGCTGTAGGAGGCAAGGTACATTTGAGAGGTGCAATACCCCACTTGGCTCTCAAACATTGTCATGATTCATAAAATCAATGGAAAGTGGAGGAGGTGTGCCAAATTCACCAATGTAAATGCCGTCTGCCCGAAGGATTGATACCCGCTGCTAAGGATCGTTGCCCTAGTGGACTGGACCATAAAATACTCGGTGATGAGTTTTCAAGATGCTTTCTATAGCTATCACTAGATTTGGATGGTCCCGACAGAACCTCAGAGGACCACCTTCATTGCAGCTGAGGGAGCGCTTTGCTATAATGTAATGCCATTTAGGCTTAAGAACACTTGGGTCACGCACTAGCGTTTAATGGATGTAATTTTAAAAAATCAGATATAAAAGAATATTGAGGTCTATGTCGATATTGTTTTTGTGAAAATTCAAACAACATTACAACATATAAAAGACCTAAAATAAAATTTTCAAACCTTAAGAAAATAGAATATGAGGTTCAAACGCTTAAAATGCATCTTTGGGCCTCATTTGACAAGTTCTTAGGTTGCCTCTTGACCCCTCAAGGCATAGATGCAAATCCGGATAAAATCCAAGGACTGATTGACATGTCTCCCCCATGGAATGCTTAAGAGTTTCAAGAGTTAACCGACAAGATCACAACTCTATGTCAATTCAATTTAAGATCGGGTGACAAGTGCACCGCATTCTTCAAAACTCTCTAAAAATACTGAAAGTTTTTAGTGGACATATAAGTTCCAACAATTTTTTTAGTGGACAGAATTGTTCAGCTTCACCTCTCATGGTGAAGGAAAAATGAGAGTGTCGCTAAAGAAGGATGTCGAAGCATTCTCCAGGAGGTGAGACCAATGTCAAAAATATGGTTTGTTGCACACCTGTTGGCTTAAAAATCACAACCGATCATTAGCGTGTAGTCCTCGGCTTCTTGGGACCATTTCCACCTTCAAAAGGAAAACTTCATTTTCTCCCAGTGACAGTGGATTATTTCTCAAAGTGGATAGAGTCCAAAGCTTTCGTCTATATCATAGTGGATGTTGTCCATAACTTTATTTGGAACAACTTGATCTGTTGTTATGGCCTGCCACTAATAATCATCACATATAGTGAGACATATTTCATAGACAAAAAGGTTCATAATTTTTCCAAAACCAAGGAACTAACCTCAAATACGCTTCGGTACATCATCCACGAACCAATGGCTAGGCTGAGGTGGCCAATAAAATCATCCTCAACTGGTTAAGAAAGAATGTGGAAGGTGTAAAAGGCAGCTGGTTGATCTACCCCAATGATTATCACAATTATGTACGTCCTAGTAATGACATCAGAAAACTTGATCTACTCCCTAGCAACTTGATTGAATTCTTAATAGTAGGTGTTCTTGGACACTGGGATTTCTCACAGAAGTATGTGTATCGTTTCATTAATATAGAGCTTCATTGAGTCCAGATTTTTCAATCACACAAAGAACGAGGTAATGGCTCCTGTAAGAAAAGTTTTAATATAATACTTATAGGTCTTAGTTTGGAGTTTTGATTAAGTGAAAGTTCTACCAACTACTCAAACACTATTTCAATTAATTCTAATTTTTAAAATCTACTTAACTTAATTGGATTGCTGATTATTAGGATATAAAAGTTAACCCTTTTTTTTTTTATTTCGTAAGTGGATTGTAGAATCGAATAATATGAATTATTATATTGTCTACTGACAAATAGGAGCATATAAAGAAGTTTAGTTTACCTAGTTTTAATTTCTTAAACTCTATATTGAACCCATCAAAACATATTTCTCTATCTATTTGCATTGCCTATAGTCTACTTTCATTGTAGCCTACAGAACAATTTGAATACTTTAGATGTTCTTCCATCGTTCTTCCGAGTCCTAACGGATCACAAAAAATTTTAACAATTCATATGGTCAATGCAAAAGATAAAAGAAGTATAAAAGAGTACTCATCAAATTGATATTAAAAACCAATGCTAAAAACATTCTACACATCCTACAAATCCTACTTATTCATCACAAGCGAAAGGTAAAGGAAATCTTCTCACAAAGCATGAAGAACACCATAGAAATCTTCATCATTTAATAAATCAAATCCACTAAATATTTGCTTACAGCTAGTACAAGACAAATGGTAACACAATTCTTAGCTTTTCTCCTTTGAAATATATATCTATATATATATATATATATATATATATATATATATATATATATATTAATGTGATGGGGCTCGCGGCTCAAGAAGAAGGTATGCAGGCAGATGCGATAGGATCTCTCCAGGCGTGCTTGAGTTCTCTTTTTTTATAGTAGAGGATAAGGATTTTTTAAACTTTATATTATATTATATAATAATAATAATAATAATAATATTATTATTATTATTATTTTAGTTCACACGGTTTTCGCTTGGACAAGGTCTCGTGGTGAAATGAACGTCACCCTAGGTAAAATCGACGTTCTGAACGTAATAGTACGGTTCGTTTCATCATTGGGGTCAAGCAGACCACTTTTTTCGATGATTGGTTGAAAATGAAAATTAACACCTTTTTAGCCCGCATATTGCCTCGTGGTGAAATGAACACCCCCTATATAAAATCGACGTTCTGGGCATGATCACGCGGTATATTTCGTCATCTGGGGTCATTTGAATAAACTCACTGATGATCGGGCCAATTTGAGCCAATTTCTCTCGCGACGTGAGGCATGCGATCTACTGGTCCGACTGAAACCACCGGATAAGTGACATGCTGACGGCCTTTGCCTAAGCGAGGGCCAGTGTCTAGTAAAATGACTTAGGCAATGTGCCCCTCAACATACGCCGAAAGATCTCAACCGGATGTCTCGAGCTACGGTAAAAATATATGCATGAAGCGTTATCCCGATTAGCTCATGTTGGCATCCCACACACGTGACATAAAAAAACTGATGCCAACAAGGATAAGGAAAACTACTAACTAAGTATGGAGAAAACACAAAAGTTAACTTTATTTAAATTAAATCAAATTCACTAGAAAAGTATTTACAACAATTATAAGATAATGAATACCACAATACTTACTTTTTTTTCTCTCCAAGAAAGATGAAAATCCCACCAATGAAGTTTCCTACTGATCCACACAATGTTTATACAATTCCTTACATATATCTCTCAAAATCTCTCACTATTCTCTCTAGAAAAGGTAGAAATCTAAGTTTCTTACTCCTATCTACAACCTCTGGACATTCTTGTAGTTTCTAAGAGTTTGAAATGTCAAAAGGTGTCTTCCTAAGTGCCAAATGGTGCTTAAAAACTGCCAAAATCAAGCAATAACTGTCCAAAACGGTTACTAGCACGATGGCGCCAGAATCAGCGCTATGACACATGTTGCTTGACGTGATTGGCGCATTGGGGCCAGTTTGTGTGCTATTGCGCCAGTTCAAAAGTTGGGGCGACTCCAATTTGCTTCATTTCACTCTGTTTCACCTCGTTTCAGCTCGAATTTTGCTCCAACAAAATGCGCCATATTAGAATTTTCTTCATTGTTTGATTTGACTTCAAATTGCACTGTTTTTGCTCCATTTCTCCAAAAGCTTATTTCTTGTCCCTGAAACAAAAAATATGCAAAAATACCTTCCATTAAAGCACAATATCATAAAAAATGTACAAAAAATGAGTATTAAATGTAGATTTAAAACATGCAGTTTCACGGTGTATCATCCAGCCTAAGACATGAAGATATCTAGTTGTGGAACCAAGATGGACCGACCGAGGACCAAATGAAGACCGGCGAACTGCGGTGCCAAGATTGCCTGGTCCAGCCTGAGACATGAAGATAGCTTAATGTATGTTGACCTCACTTTTGGTTGAGGTCTAG